AGATTAAGATAAAATGAGGGGATTTCTATTTCCTTAAACATAATTAACATCTATAATAATAATAATAAAAAAGAAAAAAACCATCTGCAATTCCTAATGCACCCTTGTTCAACAAATAAAACTATTATCAAGCCCTGAGTTCCAATCTTTAACTTTACACGGGAAAACAGTTAGAAAAGCTCGGTCATTGAAGCCAAATTTCATCAACTACCCAAAAACAGAAAAAACAAAAATGGAGGTTGAAACTTGAAAGCACACAAGCCTGGTGGGGTGGTGATTACGGATCCCGACTCCCGAAATTCACATTGCAGTACTGCAGAGCCTGAGGTATACGGATGTCTCATCCTGCACACACAATAAGCCAAGCATTTGCAACAACAATTGCCATTTAAAGAAGAAGAAAGTACGAACAAACAAGAAAAAGAGATACAACCTTTTTTTTTCAAATTTCTCACCTTGTAAGGATCAGGAACAATATGATTGAAGAAGACGGATATGGGAATTACTCAAATGCTCACAATAGCAGCCACTTCTTTTTCTACCCATCTATCCTTCTCTCCTTTCCAACAGATTTCGAAAATGGCAGACGACTCAAAATCTAATCTGTCGCATTATTCCGGCGAGAACACTGTTTCCAATCTGCATTTAGCTGTCGAGTTTGGAGTCAGGAACCCGGAGTTGCCGGCCGCCGACCGGAGTTCAGAATTGCAGGCGAACGACTAGTAGTACAACGACCGCGTATCAGAGTAAGTTACAAGAAAGGGTGGCAAACAATTCCTAATTTTGGCACTCAAAGTTCTATGAGATATTGAATTATTAAGTTTCTTAACATTTCCTGTTACATTTTCAATCTTTTTTTTCAAAAAAAAAAAAAAATTTCAACCCCCATATTAGTTGAAATAAATCATCAAATTATTTTAGAAAAAGTGCTTAAAATAGTAGAGAATGTTAAATTAGCCATTGATTTTAAGAGTAAAAAATCTCACATTCTAAGACCTCTCTTCTTAATGATTATAATTTGTGCAATCCATATCAAGATATGCTACACTTTTCTTAAAATTGTATTTGTTAAGATTTGTTTATTTATCACGCTAATAAGTAAAACAAGCCAGAGAAAAAGGAAAAATAAGTAGTACAAAATACATAACAAGATGGGCAATAGTCCCTCAATACTACCAAGAGGAAATGGGAAAGGGAACTGAAATATTCAGACATTCGCCCCATCTTTTCAAGGTTATTGCCAAGACTATAGAGAGATAGGGGAGGAAAAAAACAGATCCTAGGAACAAGATACGCAAATGCAAGAAGCATTTACTTCCCGAAGCCAAAGAACTTTAATTCCATCTTCTCCTTGCTTGTTGTGCTTAGAAGCATTTCCTGTGCACAATTGAAGGGCCAGACTCATCGTATTCAGCTTTGCTGATCCACATCTGCATTCAAGGCAAAAAGTAGGGCTATATTAGAAACTTTCCTGTAAAGCACTTTGAATAAGAATAAATAAATAAATAAATGGTGGACAAACTGACCTGCTGGAATGTACTGAGGGATGCCAAGATCGAACCTCCAATCCAGACACTATACTTCCTCTCAGGAGGAGCAACAACCTTGATCTTCATGCTGCTGGGGGCTAATGCGCTGATCTCTTTGCTCATTCTGTCCGCAATACCAGAGAACATGGTGGAACCACCACTAAGAACAATGTTGCCGTACAAATCCTTTCTGATATCAACATCACACTTCATTATGGAGTTGTATGTTGTTTCATGTATGCCAGCAGCTTCCATCCCTATCATAGATGGTTGGAAGAGGACTTCAGGGCATCGGAAACGCTCAGCCCCAATGGTGATCACCTGACCATCAGGTAACTCATAAGTCTTCTCAACAGAAGAGCTGGTCTTGGCAGTTTCTAGTTCCTGTTCATAGTCAAGGGCAATGTAGGCCAATTTCTCCTTCATGTCTCTCACAATTTCACGCTCAGCTGTGGTGGTGAATGAGTAACCACGCTCAGTCAAAATCTTCATCAGGTGATCAGTGAGGTCACGACCAGCAAGATCAAGACGCAGGATGGCATGTGGAAGAGCATACCCTTCATAAATAGGGACTGTATGGCTGACACCATCTCCAGAGTCAAGCACAATACCTGTATGACAAGAAAAATATCCAGGCATCTTATACAACTAGCACCATCTGTAATTTGGTCTATCTTCTCTGCACTAAGATAAATGCAACCATTTTGCATAAAAATGGTTGAAAAAAATTGTAGTCTTGACTTGCTGATCAAAAAGGAAAAAAAAAAATGTAGTCTTGACTTCTCCTGCATCTGTTTGCTTGATAAATAACAAAAATACACCACTAAACATCAAAGAAGAATATGCCTAGACAGAGGAGAGAAGTATTTAAAATCCTTTAAAATCAGAAATGAGGAAACGTTCCCTTCCCTGAGATTCCAAAACAAATTACTGAAGTACAAGTACATACAAAGTAATTGCAATCAATTATGTAAAGATGATTGCCTTACCAGTTGTACGACCACTAGCGTAAAGGGAAAGAACAGCCTGAATGGCAACATACATAGCTGGTGCATTAAATGTTTCAAACATGATTTGTGTCATCTTTTCACGGTTAGCCTTTGGGTTGAGAGGTGCTTCAGTGAGGAGGATTGGATGCTCTTCTGGAGCAACACGAAGTTCATTGTAGAAGGTATGATGCCAGATTTTTTCCATATCATCCCAATTGTTGACAATGCCATGCTCAATAGGGTACTTCAGAGTCAAGATACCACGCTTAGACTGTGCCTCGTCTCCAACATATGCATCCTTCTGTCCCATGCCAACCATCACTCCAGTGTGGCGAGGGCGGCCAACAATGCTAGGAAATACAGCCCTGGGAGCATCATCTCCAGCAAACCCAGCCTACACAACAATAATGTGACCATATATTTGTAAGGATCCTTGACTCTTTTCTAGCACACATGGAACCATAGGACCAACAATAACTTAGCTCAATAGCCACATTAAATGATGAATAATCTAATATGATACCTTAACCATTCCTGTTCCATTATCACAGACAAGTGGCTGAATATCCTCACCATCTGCCATTTTCTACTGCCTGAAAGAGAATTAATAGCATTGCATTAGCAAACTTAGAGCATGGAATAACAAGAAACATAGAGTGATTGCATAAGTGATTACACATCTATCCAAACACAAATCATATCTGATGTTTTGATGTTGACACAAATGCTATAAGAAAAGAGGCATATCAAGTATCAACCATTCAACCTTATGTCGTACTGTCTTAAAACTCAACCAATGGTTTTGTTCTGAAACTAAATGCAGGCATAGCATATGAGACAGCAAGCGAATACACAAATTTGGTGTCAAACATCAGTAATGTCTCACACAAAAGTGTTAGACAACTTCAACATCAAACATCAGGAATGTCTCGCACA